TATCTAGTACACCCAGGTTTTTCACGGTGATCTAGCTTCAATTGACTCATGATCTCGACTATTAAAATTATTAGATTATCCACAAAACCCTTTCTGTATAGATATTTGTCGAATATCGAATTGTGTTATTTATTCACGTTTATTTTTCTTTACATTTGAACAAATAGTTAAGAGAAATAAAATTACAAGGTTACAAAATATATTTGATCCTAATCATTTTCTTTTCATTCTTTTTTTTCTTTTATTTTTAAACCTCATTGTAAAGTTCACTTTTTTTTGTTCTAGATTTCTTTTGGTTTTGTCTTTTCTTTCCAATGTTTAATTCATAATTGTATTCCATTGATTAATTAATAAGTTAAGAATAGAATATTTACCTAAATTCAATATACACTATGTGTAACATTGAGATAAATGAATGAGTGAATTATAATCTTAGATAAATATAATAAAATATTGTACAAAAAGTAAACGCCTTAATTTTGTTAATTATTGAAACTGTTCTCTAGTCATTAACTAATTTCATGAATAGATGGTTATTAAGAAGTTTTTATTTCATGATGTTTATTTCTTTAGATAAATTTACAAGAATCTTAATTTGTTAACTTATTCTTAAATAGATTTCCTAGTCTATCAATAACTTTTATTTATTTTATTTATTTAAACACATAAACATGGATACAAGAAGGCACCAAGTAGATATGCGTCACACAAGTCACTTGATTTCTGTGTGGGCTGTGATACGACCTAGGTACCCAGACCGAACTAGGTGATTTACTGATAAGTCTTACCAATTGAACGCTATATTCCGTTCCTAAGCTATTCTCCTAACCCCTAAACTAGAACTACATAGCAACATGAACACTAGAGAAAAGGCGCAAAATATTCGTTTTAATAAAGAAAATATAGGGTTTTAATCATATTTCAGATGTCTTTGGGTTTTCCGAAAATTCTGGAATGCTACTAAACATAGTAGCAGTATGGTAATCAGTCAATCAGAAACTCTACATGTGACTTTTCACTTTCTTGATGTTTCTGGCTAAACTTCCAGTGAACGCTGATTGGATGAAATGCTTTTTAGTGTTTCCTGAACGTTTTTTGTCTTTTGCGAGAAGTTTTCTGGATCACCCCAACATTTTCTTAGGATGGCACACGTGGCCATGTGCGAGCATTTGGGGAGGAAAAGTTGACTCTTCTCACTCTCGGCTACACCAAGGCATTTGGGGGCACTTAAGTAAACTATATTAATGAATCGGAAATTTTAAGATTTATCAGTGGTAATTCATTCAGAAAAGATCCATATCATTTGTGACAACTCCTTAGTTTCGTGAGGGAATTCTCGGAGTTCCAGTGAGAAGCCGTAACCAATGGAGCCAATCCGTGTCGGGTAGAGACAGGTATCTACCTCAGTACAATGGAAGATGGTCGCGCAATTTTGTGGATTGGATGATCTTAGACACTAACATCATTCGATGCCGGCTCAGTGTTCCAGTAAGTTAAACGTTCGCACGCGATGCTGAAGGGCCTGGGTTCGAATCCTGCGAGCGGGATCGTGGATGCGCATTGCTGAGGAGTCCCACAATAGGATGAAACGGCCGCCTAGTACTTCCAGGTTCCCAATGGTGGTCTGACATCAATCAGCTTATGATCTCAGTCAACAACTCCTTAATTGTTGACTTATTAACTACTTGATTCTCTTAAAAATATATTTCGCAAATTAATTTCTTTTTGTTGTATTATTTCTATTTTGTAGATTATTGATTACATTAACTTAGAGGGTGAAAAATGGTTAATAGGTGTACCACCATATAACTAATTATTCAAGGCTTATTTACAAATAATGTTGGAGAGATACAGATTTTTTAGATTTCCGGTGAAAACTTATTATCTATTGAAATTACTGGTCAATAAACAATGACAGTTATTTCTTCGGTGAAATATATATATATATATATACGACAAATAGACTGTAATAACGAAGTCTTGTTAAAAAAGGTCCTCTTTCTTTTAGAAAGTTTGACTAACTAAATTTACAACTTCACATCAAAATTTGAGTATATCTGTAGTAATAATAAAAACTAAGTGAATTCTCCATGTCAAACATTTACATCGGTATAAAATGTTCCTTCTCAAAAAATAAGAAATATAATTAGAAACTTGTCAGTTTTTATTATTATATTGCTTACAAGTGAAATTATGTAAATTTCAGTATTAAAAATATTTCCTGTTTTATTTAAAATGGAATAGTTTTGAGATGAAACAAAATAGGTGGATTAGAAACTGATAATTATTAATCAGTAGTTGAGATCATGAGTTAATTGAAGTTAGACCACCATGGAAAACTTGGAAGCATTAAACGGCCGTTTCTTTCTATTGTGGGACACCTCAGTAACGCGCATCCCACAATGGGACGAAACGGCTGTCCAGTGCTTACAGGTTTTTCATGGTGGTCTAGCTTTAATTAACTCATGATTTCAACTGTTGAAATTACTACAATCTCCACAAAACCCCTTCTGAAACTAATTATTAATCAATTTAAAAGTATTACATTTGTTATTTTTCAACAGTGTATACTTTTTATCTATTAAATAAGATCAACTTAAGAACTGAATATGTTTAGTTTGTATGTGTAGTGAGTGAAGAATTGGTGGGGAAAGCTAATTTACTATTTAATGCAAAATTACAATGCTTTCATAAAATATGAAAACTAAACATTAAATATATTATTTGCACGTCTTCCATCATTTGTCTTTTACATGCTTCCTGATTCGTTCAATTCTGTTGTTATTACAATAACTTTCTGTTTCCTTTTTTTGTTTTCTTCAATTCAATCTTTTCAATCTTCTGATAGCATGTATTCAACTTCCGATTGGTGTTACATACTACCTATATTTGTCGATATAAGTAGCATACACCGCATACGTTATAATTACCTGTGATTCTGTCTAGTTACGTCATTCTAATCAATAAAATAAGCACATATGACACCTAATTTAATGGTGAATTCGGACACAAATGGAGTAACAAATAAAACTTTTCAAATATCCATCTGAGTGTCTATTGATCGCTACAACAAATTCTCTCTCAAATTGGTTACAAAGCAGAATTTTCAAATGGTACAAATGAGTCAAATTTATGACCACACACATCCCTTCAGTTGATCTTTTATAAATTAGTTAACTGAACATCAATCAGAACATGTTTAAGCTCTTTAACCAAAATCGAAGATAAATTATTTGTAACCGAACTGACTCGGACAAGATGAATTTCTTTTAGAATGCTAATTTATTTTTGATGGTTTAGAGAAGTTGGTCCCTACTTCTTTTATAGATAGAATTTAATAACGTAATGGTTGTTAATTTGAACGCTTTATTCGGTTCCTAAGCTATTCTGGTAACCCGCAAGTTAGAACTACGCAGCGACCTGGACTCGAGAGAAAAGGCGCAAATAAGAGAAAAACACTTTACTCCACAGGTTCATTTTTGTACAGAAAAACATGGGTATTTATAGATGTTAACAATTGTTAAATCAACATCATATTTTGACCAATCCGCTAAAAGACATATTATGCTACTGACCAATAGTAGCACATCACATTGGTATTCTAGAAAGCTCCATCGTGCTCTGATTGGCTAGGACTCTTCGACTCATTTAGGGCCTCTGGAGGTTCCGTTGCAGTTCTCGGAAAGTCGACTCAACAACATCTAACAAAAATACACTGAATTCAAGCTAAATTTATTAGACAAAATTTATCAGCAGTATGTGACACATATTAGCATAATACATCCCGAACACTTTGATTATATATTAGATTATTGCAGTATTTATACATGAAAAAGTCAAAACTACATAGATCGGAAGAAAAGAAAAACAGACAATAAAGGAACATATTACGAACAACACCAGTCTAGATAGATTTAGTATATGTACAAACTTTCTTGAACACTAAACGGAAGTTGGGAGGTTTCAAGAAGCAGATATTCGCCGTTGGCAGCTCATTTACAAATGATAAAGGTTGAGATAGGATCAGTCTGGTGACCTATTTTAACTGTGTTTTAAGACGGGAGATGAGTGTTATTAATCTTAACTTATTGGGTCATTTGAGTATATTTGCCACCGCAGACAAGTTAATATATGTTCGGTCACCCTAACTTGCAAATCACGATTACTCAATTCTGTGTGTATGTCCACATACACGTAAATTGGTAAACACTGTTAGATATGACCTTATCGTTTACATACTGTTTATGGTTTGATGAACATAATAAGAAGTGATCGTGTAATCAAATTGTAAGAAATGTTTTGTGTTCTGATAAATCTCGTCTACTCATTGAATTTTCGAACTGTTTTATAACTAATAATTTATTGCGTAGACTATGAACATTAATTTATTATGAAAATGATATTAATTATGTATTGAACATCGACTTAAGTACCGTGGATTCAATGATTTCTTATTGATATCAATCTATAACTATAAAATATCTTCACACTTATTTTTAATTTAAATAATCGAAAACTGTCAACAATATACATACTATAATTTATTTTCTATTGGTTGTTTGAATCTTCCCACTGATGTTTAGGACTGCAATTGATCAACCTCTTATTGACATATGTACATCCTGTTCGGATTGCCTTTATATTGCCTTCAGTCAGAAGCATATAAGCATACTTTAGTCCTAAACATCTGTGGAAAGATTCAAACAACAACAACTTCACCCTATTGTACGAGCTAGTGAATATCTGGACTAAGTAGCTAAGTGGATAATGCGATGGCTTTTGAAGTCCTGGTGTGAGCATCAAATCTAGGATGCAAGTACATCCAGCTGCTGAGTCCTGGATTCTACTGCTAGCCACCATCTATCTCTGTTTATAATCTACATAGTGGTTTTTACATTATGATCCTATTATTCTGTAGAAATTTTATAACTCAAATTGTTTTTTTTTATATCATTCCACTCCATTCATTCATGCTTGTTTCTCTTCTTCAATGAAATCAGAATTGATGTCATCATTGTATTACAATGGAATTCAACTGTTCAATTATCATTAAATAACTTGTTCAATGAAATTGCTAGCAAACAATTCATATTTGAAAAGTGCACATGTTTAATTCTACCAACGATATGTCAGTTGAAACATATTCCATTCAATTCACTTCAACATAAATTAATAAAATCTTCAATGATCAAGAATGATGAAATTAAAGAAATGATCTGGTTACAAATTGCATTGAAATTAGGACTAATTGTTTTACAAGTTTCTAATGGAAATAAATTTTGGACAAGATTTCAACATACACAATCAATGAGTTCATCTATAAGTGAAAAACTACACCTTACGTTATATAATAATAATCAATCAATACAGAAAACAAATTGTAATAGTGAATTACTAAAACGAAATTTATTATTATATGAAAAATTTGGAGTAGGAAAATTGAAAATATTACCTATTTCAACTGGATGTGTTGGTAAGTTTTCAAGGTGATGAAATTTGTCAGTTTTACAAATTGTCCAAGATACTCTCATGAAAGATCGGTTTACATTGTATTTCATGTTTTGTCTAATTGACAAATTTAAATGAGACGGTGGTTGGAGGTAGCTCAGTGGTAACGTACCTGACTGTGAAGATGGGTGACACGAGATCGAATCCGCCAGAGAGCACCAGTTCCCTCAAGCTTAAAGGTACACCTTGCCGACGAGTGCCAAGTAGCACGAAACCCGGGTCCAGGATTCCCTGTAGACTACCTCCAACTACCATCTAATCTCAATATATAGTGCCCGCAGTGTCGAGTCACCTAGACTGGTGGCCATATTGCAACATGATCGATAGCATTCGATCTGCACTAATAAGGACTAGACACGCATGACATTAATCGCCACCCAGTGATCAATCAATTGTGATGACAAATTCAAAATTTTAATTTATTGCTTTTGTTTTAGGGGAATAAACGTCTATTTATGATTTCAACTAAGTCATTTTGTAGCTTACCTTTTCCATTTAAGCATAGTCTTAGTTCAGTTTTGAGGACACCTATAAACTATACGGGGAAAAATGAATAGCAATTATTCACTAGGGAAAAAAGAGGAACCATCTTCTACACTACGCTCCACCAGACGTAATCGTCAATATCATTCGGAATTCATAAGATGGACTACACTGAAAAGTAGTGCATGGAGGGCAGTTCACAGATGCATTCCAAGTGTGGACCGGTGTCAGACAGGGTTGCTTAGTTTCGTCCTTTCTCTTTCTTCTGATGGTCGAATGGATTATGAAGACCACATCTCAGGGGAATGACAGAATACAATGCTATTGAGATGTTAGACAAGATTTGTAGCTTGGGTGGATAGTATTAATGGAGTTTTGTTCCCTGAGCTGAATGATCTGGTCATGGAGCTTTCAGTTTTATTTTGAACAACATCATCAGCATAAACCCAGGTAGCATCATCGATGAACTAGGATTATCTGATGCCGATCTGAAGGCACAGATTAACAAGGGTAGTAACGGCAGCATTCCTATAGTTGAACAACATATAGAACTCACAAAAACTGTCTCCAAACCATCATCAAAATGACAATCTTCAATACGAATGTCAAGACAGTCATACTGTACGGAGCCGAAGCTTTGAGAACTACCACAACCATCATCAAAATGTACAAGTATTTATAAACAGTTGTCTACTCAAGTTACTCAATATTCGTTGACCGAATACCATCAGCAATAGCCTACTGTGGGCGGGAACAAACCAGCTTCCAAATGAGGAGGAAATGAGGAAAAAACGATGGGGGTGGATAGGACATATATTGGGGAAATCATCGAACTGCATCACAAAGCAATTTCTAACGTGGAATCCTGAAGGTAAAAGGAAAAGAAGAAGACCAAGAAACACATGGTGTAGGGAATTGAAAGCAGACATCAAAAGAATGAATAGAAACGGGAAACAAGTGGAAAGGATTGACCAGGACAGAGTTCGAAGGAGAATGCTGGTGGTTAGCCTATCCTCCTTTATGAGGAGTAACAGGTGTAAGTAAGTAACTAGAGTGAAAATGCAACAACTTGATTACTTATGAGGTGTATGTCCCTTTAGATTCATAAATTACAGGCATATTATCAGTCTAGGGATTGTGATCACTTACACCATCACTTGATGAAAGCGAGTGAGGTACGAATAAAAAATTGGCTGACTTGGTATACCACGCGCAGCAAACCTTTAAATAACCAGGTCACCTTGTCAATTATTTTTTAGGATTTAAGGGCGGCCTGTTACGCGGCCAGCCGCAAGCAAGAGAAATTTGATTTGATACTCTAACTTAAGGGCAACGACCTCATAAAAACAGTCAACATTCGAACGAAATCACTATTTGCAAATGTATTCATTTGTATTCAAACAATGTAATATTGCTATTTAAAATTACAAAGCATTACCTAATTTTGCTTTATAATTGATACATTTCATTAAATAAGCTTGAAATTGTCAAGACTTTTGACCTTATTATACTACTCTTAAATTTATTTAAGTAATATATAGTGTTGGAATAAATTTCTTTATACTCAGTTGTTTGAATTTCACTGAACTTAGTATTTCTTAAAAGCTAATCGCCTAGAGTATTCTGTTGTCACAACCTATCAGTAAAACATTGGAATGTTTAACATTAATTTGTGAAACACGTGCGCTTATTGTCCAGTTAACATCAGGTCTTGATGTGTACGGATGAATTATCATATAAATTTGTTTATCTTTTTATCTATCAACCAGAAGAATACCTTAAAGATAAATGCAAGTGAAATAATCACTGTTATAACTTTTTTAAAAACTTTTTTCGTTAATTTAGCTAACCATGGCTTATCTTATAGTGTATTGTTTACATGGATCCCTTATGAAATAGAATTGTCCAACATAACAGAACATCATAAGAATTATGCCAAAGTATTTTTCTATTCAGTAACATTAGATTCAAAAAAAGGAAATGATTCTGTCAATGAAAAGCAATTAGTTTACCATCGAATTGAAACTGAACAGAAGTTAATAATGAATCTATTACAATTACAAAATCACTTGTACAACAATTAATAAGATATGTTGGAATGAATTGTTCAATTAATAAGAAAGGAATTACAGAACATGGTAAATTTGTTTGAACTATTTGAATCAACCTGATGTTTTGTAGTAAAGAATAATTTTTCAACGTTTTTTATTCATATAGAGGATCGTAGAGATTACTAAATGAGATTGATATCATTAACCGAACTAATTTAGACACTTATTAAAAACTAGGAAACATTGGATTGCTGGTTCATTCTTGTATGGAACTCCTCTGGGGCGACGATTCACGAATATAGGACCTTCGGTCTAGCATACGAACGCTTAGTCTTTCGAAAGATTTTTAACTCAGCTAGGTTCGTGATATAGAAAAACGTTTTGGTATTCATTGTATAGTCAGAATTAATCACAATTTATGCAAAATATCCACATGAATTGAATAGTAGATCAAGGACAGTTTAATGTTTTGACATGTAAAGTACACCTAATGTTATGACTGATTATACAATCCTCAATGTATGTAATAGAAAAAATCTCATACTGTGTTTAAATATTATGACTAACATTATTCTTAATCCGAAATTAGTGAAACTCTCGTTAAATACAGAAATTTTGCAAAAACAGCGTCCAATGAATAATAACCAATGTGTTGCTGACTAGGTCCCCGTGTTAGCTAACGTTAGTCAGTCTATTTAAACCTGTTTCACCTCAGTTATATGAGAAGCACATTCGAATTTTTGAGTGATTATTAGTTTCCGTCAAATTTTCAATACCTCTCAATCACTACTATTCAGGGAATAAGAATTCGTTTAAACCGCTATCTCCTTTTTGTCTAGCTAATTAAAGTGATTGATAATAAAACAATAATTAAGGCAAGTATTTTCAAGACTCAGTATTCAAAGTTAGAACGCTACAAAATGAAAACTTACTGAAAAATTAAAATACAGTTTCCTCTGAAATGAAAATGTGTCGTCAGAAACGTGTGATCTGTTGGTTACCGTAAACGCCGTCGAGAATACAAGTTTAGAAGCTACCAAAGTTTTGCTATTGTGTGAAATAATTTCCATCCATTCCAGCTCAACTTAATTTTGATACTTTTGTTTTAATCAAGGAATATTCGTTGTTCCTAATTTGGGCTTTACAAGAAAGACTTTTATTCAACAGCTGATAAGACTTACATTCGAGATTATGTTAGATCTATTTCAAATAGGTGGTTTGTAGGGAATTTGAGATCTGAGGAAAATGTTTTTAATCAGGAGCTGATATTAGTCAGAGAAGCACCGACAACAAGACATAACTAGGGTAGCCGTTTCATTCGAAATTGTAACCGGATTGTAGTGCTCACCTAAGAATTAAATGAGATTAAACCGGTGACTTTCAGGTTTTGACATAAAATGTGTATATAATGTCAAGTCCGAATCTAATGCTCCATTCAGTCTACGCAATAGACTATTGTGATTATTATAAGTGGTACTAATATTTCGGCGAAAAATTTTCATGCTGAAATCAATTTCTAGATGGTGGAGAAGATTTGTAGCTCAGGTGGATGATTTTGATGGAGTTTTGTTCTCTGATCTCAGGGAACAAAACCCCATCTAAATCAATTTTTGTAATGAATTAACATTCTAAATAATTAAGCTTAAAATTCCTCATCTGTTTTCTGCTTGCTTTATTTTTATAAATTCACTGATTTTTATGGTATAGATGTGACTTATTCTCAGTCGAAAATAACTCGGTCAAAAACATTCACCTCAGGCTTAAATCCACCAAAACGTACAATTTATACAAACGCAGTACGTTCGACAACCAATCCAATTTTAAGGTTGGTAAATTATATTTATTCATATAGTATTTGTTTCAAAGTATTAATTTTAAACTTGTTTAAATTAGTGAGGTTTCATGAGTACGCTAGGAGATCTTCTGATTGACAGTTCACTGATCTCAGTTAAACTTACGGCACCTCTCCTACACATAAGCTTGTTTACATTTAGTTCTGTCATGTACTTCAGTTAACTTATTTAACAGACAGTGCTATCCGAACAGTAACAATTTATATATCTTGGTATTATTATTATCATGTCTTCATGAACATGTACTCTTGATCACATGTTACGGGTTAGCTCATATCCCTCTCACCTAGCTTAAATGTCAGTTGCTTAAAATGCTCGATCAATCATTCGCTTTCCCATATATATGTACTTAAATCTTATTAATTCATTCGACTCTTAAATTACCCCTTTATTCGCTCACTCGCATTAACACTTCTTCCTGAATTGGCTATGCGTACTTTTGGCTTAGTGATCTGTGCTGTTCAATGATAAACCATGGTCGGCGCCTCGTATTTCCTTCTGAATTTATACACCGTTGGAATTTATTTAATAATGGCTATCAGGGAGATTGATATATTAAGCCTTGAGAATTATTTCGAAGATAATCCACTGCAAACTTTAACTTAATTTAATTATCGACAAACAGCTGATCACCTAGTGCCATCCAAAGTAGGAGCGTCGATTATCTTAACTAATTTGACTTTAAGTTGGCTTACTGATGGTAACTAATAATATATTCAAGTTTTAAGGATTGATGGTAATTTGTAGTTGAGAAAAGATAATATAACTAATGAACTGAGAGAAGTAACATACATTAGTTATCAGAATTTTAAAATCCGTTTCAGGAACAAATGCTGGAGTTTCTGACCGTTCAATAACCTATTTGTAAACATAATCCACTTATAACTGTATTCAACAGAAAAGTCTCTCACTGTCGCTTCTAGTGATACTGGAGTATAAGCCTTCTCAAGTCGGAAAATATTTTATGGTCATCAGTAGCGATAACACACAAACCTTGTTATCAACTTTCATGTATGTTACCTATAAACATTTGAGATCATACTTAAATTAGTCAATTAACAACAATAAAGCCTAATAACATCCCAACGAACTCTCCACCGTAGCAAATATCAAACGGAGAGATTTTGTGCTGACACGAATGTTTCCGAAATCAGTTTTATTCTGAACACTTATTTTATATTTAAAAGGATGTTACGCTCAACCAATGAAGTAGATGCATTTTTTATACAATGAGCTGAGATGAACTATAATTAAACCCCACATCATTTAAATGTTAAGTGATAAATAACTCATAATTAGAATTCTACTTCATGTAGGGGCTAATGATATTGTTTAGAAAGTCAATAAAAATTTCTCAACTAGATCATCTATCTCAGATAACGCCATAAAGCAAAACTACTCCGACTGACTTTTCTGTTTACAAAGAATCAACTCAAATTCCAAATCTATATTGGCATTCAGTTAGTAAGCCATTTGTTATGTCTTATGTGATCCACTTGACTGAGATTCGGTGTTCAGTTGTGTAAGTAGATTGTCATTCTTCCTATCTTACTTATTCTGTAAAAACACCGGTGCATCACAGTAATATAAACGTGATTACCAATCTATAGGGAACGTAGACTATTTTTTTTACATCAAAGCCAGTATCAGCATGTTAGCTATCAATGATTACTCGATAATTTCAATAGTTGAGATCATGAGTCACTTGAAAGTAGCGCGCCAGGCGCTTAACTAACTAAACCACTGAGCCGGCATCCAACGGTGTTAATGTCTAACTGATAGGTCCCGGGTTCGAATCCCGCGGGGCGGTTTGTGGATGCGCACTGCTGAGGAGTCTCACAATAGGACGAAACGGCTGTCCAGTGCTTCAAGGTTTTCTATGGTGGTCTAGCTTCAACTGACTCATGATCTCAACTATTGAAATTACTACAATCTCTACAAAACCCCTTCTGATTACCCGATAACTAGTCACCCTTTAATTTAATCAACATAGAAAGTCTCAGTGGTGTTCATTGGATGAAAAATTATTTTTGTACCAACAAATATAAGCTATCTTAAAGGAATAACTACTTCTAGTAAAGAATTCGGGAAAAGAAATGTTAATTTTATTATTTATTTTTATATAATTGATTTGTGAATTACAGAAATTCGTTTCGTATTCTCTAGGGAACTTTGATCCCTATGGGTTGAATTCAAACTTTTAGCTAAATAAATGAAAAGAAATTGTTATATTGTTACTACTCAAAGAAGAAAACTAATTTAGTTTTCAAAATGGCTAAAAAAACTATTGATTGTTTAAATTCATCCATCATCATCATCATCATCATTATAAACTTTCATATCTTTCTTTCACCAAATATCTAAAATGTAAATATATAGGTGAGCTGTTTAATTAAGAGTAAATTCTTATTATTATTCAGCTGGTATTTGGATTGTAATTTAATTCCAAGAACTACTGACTACTTATAAGTAAAACATTACGTTTAAAGTACAAATTATTTTTCAAATGGATCAAGGAAGGTGATGTCACTGAGAATCATGAAAATTATTATTTCACTTCCCTGGATTTAAAACTCAAGTAAAAACAAAAGGAATGAGGTTGATGAACTACTAATACAGCAAGCAGTAGTTTACTGATTAGAGACAATAAATGACATGGTGATAATAGGATATTATGTGGAAGGCTTACTGCTTCTGATTCAGATTACATATATAACATGATTCAATAAGGAGCAGTTCTTTTTTCTTTGTTCAGACTACATTCTCAACTAAGCCACACTATTAATGTTAGTCAAAGTAATTTACACTCTTTTATGGTAGAAATGTTTGAGAAGTTTGGAATTGTTGGTTATGTGATACTCAGTGTATAGTCTCATAATATTAATTAATCGATTTTTTAACAAATCTTTAAATAAATATTGTTAAAACCATGAGAAACCTTTCATAAGGGCATGTATAACTTAGTAAAGCACCCACAGAAATGCTGAAATTTTCCTAAATTACTGAGTAAACTTGTAGATTAAGTGGTCTTGTCTAGATTAAAGAAAACTGATTATGAACCTTGAAAAACCCATGAACCACATAAATACACCACAACAGTGAAGTTTTCGTCATATTTTAGAAACTAGTCTTTGATTTTGACAGTCTATAGTACTCACTGGCTAACAAAGAAACTATAACTTCGAGGATCACTTCGGTGTTGCTCAATATAGCTGCTGTAATGAAGCCTGATCATAGGAAACAATAGCATGCGGAATCTTATTCAACGTATAATTATATATTTCTTACTTGAATAGTTTTAATATTTAATTACTGTTTAGTATCAGAATGTTTTGATTACATTTAAACAGGAAAAGTCGTGAACAGAAATATGAAAATGATATGGTTAAGTCTCCTGAAGATAATCATAAGCAAAAATGTGGAATTAAACAAGTTACATTCAGTGGAACGGTAACTATAATTTGTGTATAGTTTTACTTTGGTGAAAGTAATTTTGTACAGGTAATGAATTTATATACATACGCCAAATCTTAACGGAAGGCGAATCTAGTTGGCTAGGCTACGGTGGTATACTGTGTCTTAATCAATAATGGTTAAGTTAAGAACCATGAGAATACGTTACTGACTATGTTTAGTTACCCAGGTTTATTTCACGCGATTAAAAACTGGTATATGTATATATAACGGAAAGTTATGATTGACAGATTGAATGACATAATTGTATGTCATTGTGTACAGTGCTTTACAGCAATTTATTCGTTATTTGTATCCTGAATGAAATTCATACTATGTCTATGAAATCCATAACAAAACGAAGAAGTGAAATAAATAATGTATTATTTTGGTTAAATACTAAATAGCTGAAGTTGGGTGAGAGAAGATGAACATTTCCTTTGTGAGAAAAATAGATGAATACAAACTAAAAATGAAACTGACGTTTTAGACTTTAGACCACCAAAAGTAAAAAAAAGCCTGTAGATGCAATAAAAACAATTCGCTCTGAATAGCTATAGAAAATGACTGAGAATTTCTTAATTAATTCCAAAGATCATATTAAATTGATATCTCATTGACTACAAAACCTGACATTTATTATATTTATCTCTAAGAATTATTCATTAAGTCCAATTACGGCCTCATTCGAATTGGAACTAGTAAACACCTGACTTATAAGTCTTACTGAATACGTAGAGATTTTGTTTTAACATAAAATAACTTCATATGATGAATTATTAAAATCAAAGAACATCGAATAACTGCTTCGTTATAGTTTGGGCTTCTTTAGCGGTTAATATCCTAAGTACACCTATCGACAAATGATTGAATTCATTACCCCCTGGGCCCCACTAGAAGGCTGTTATATTTGAATTAGCTTGTCAGAATGCAATCATTCACAATTTATATTAAATCAATTTGTAATATGGTGTTATCACTGAGTTTTTTTAAACACTGAAGTTAACTGTAACCACACTTTATGCATAGTATATATATAAAAGCGTATGAATTGTAATATATTTAACTTAAAGTATTTCATCCCACAGTTAGTTTTTATGACGAAAGAAAGTTATATCGATATCGTCATTGTTTTAACGTCTTATCTATCATGAAAGCAAAAAGCAGAGAATGTGAATTTCACTATTTGTTTTTTTCTCACAATTGAAAGTGATAATTAAGTCTATTAACCACATCAATTTATATACTTTTTTAAAGGTTAATTATGTTTCAACTGAAGATTTTGTTGAGAAAGTCACAATGAAGTCATCCGTAAATGTCAATCAATCAGTGATACCGAAAGCCTTGCCATCACCAATAGTAAATAAAATATCAACAAAAAAATCATTATCACCACAAACAATAGTAGTTAATACTAGTACTACTAATGCTACTATTGCTACGAATATTTCTGAAAGTTCTGTTATTGTATCCAATGAAAAAAACAATGGCGAATTATTTCCTCAATCTAATGAAGAATGTTCTTTTGAAGAGAAAACCGAGACTCTGCTAAGTAATTCGTTAATTTTAACTTATGCTTATCTTTAAAATCATAATTAATTAATAACACAATTATTCTTCATGAATACTGCACCAGTTATGATATTGTCTTTTTCTCAACAACAATCAACAATTATCAATAACCAATCTAGTTTCTACGTTTTTTATGATGTTTTGTCTGATAAATAACACTCAGTTAGATAGTGATTTACAATCTAATACCTAAAATCTTCAACTGCTGATGAATGCTACCACACCGTTAATAACAAGGTAGTTTGAATATCCCAATGTGACTCACATCAACAGTCAGTAACATAATGAACTATTGATATCTAGATTGATCGTCTCTAAACGTTTTCCAAAAGCGGATGAAATATTTAGTTAAACAAATACATTGGTATTTTAGTAAACTGTTCATTTATGCAAACTTTGAACATGTTAGCTGGGTTATTTTTTTCATAATTCACATCAGCTAGGAAATTACTGATTACCTATAAGTATTAGATGGACGTCACACCCTGTTTCAAAACTTCTCAAAATTAAAAAATGGAAGTCTAAAAAAATTCATACTATTCAACTGCCGAGTTAAACTCCAACTTCACTTAATTCAAAACATAACAAAAATATATTTATACAGTAAAAATCTTCACAGACTATCCTGGATAATCACTAATCCTATGTTTACCAAAGATTTTCTTTTTTAAAGTAGGTTTGTCCATGTTCTAATGAACACATTTTCGAATTTATACCTTAAAATTGTGTTGATTTTGTTCAGAAGAAGTATGAAATCATCCTCTTGAACTAAAACCTTTCCCTGACCATCTTTAATATGTCATGAGGAGAACAGTTACCCATTTATAAGATTGGATAAGGAAAGTGTTTTATGAATAAACTACTTTAAGTCGGAAAATGTTTATTAATTATATTTCTCTGATTAGTTTTAAACAACGAAGAAGAAGAAGAAGGAAATATAGAATGATCTATAACTTTCATGATTTTCACGTTTGTCTTTAAAAATAATTTTCACAGTGGGTGTACGCTTTTATTATGAATGAATTGTTTGTACGTCTTTATTTTTCTTTCATTTTCATTCTTTCACATCCTTATTTTAATGAATTCTTTAATTAATTTCATCCATTGAGTCAGTTCTAACAGACAGTTACATGGAGAGTTGAACCAAGTTTTTCTTTATTGCATCACATTTTTCTGTTTATAAGACTGTTTGTTCCATATGTTGATAATACTATTGGTGAATGTTGTTTTTTCTTGTGTTCTTTTTTCCAGCCAAATCAACTTCATGTCCTAATCAACTGGCACAGCATACATTAAATAATCATTCTAGACCTACATCATTATTTGAAAAGGATTCCGACTATCAGTATTATTACTATTATAATAGTGATCAAGAATATGAAAGATTTCCAATATCAGCCACCGTATTATTAGCTATACCTGAAGGTGGTGAAAATGACTACTATGCTGATTCACCACAATGTATAACAGTTAAAGAACTAAAAGAATTAGGATTATATGCTAGTGAAGAGGACGATGATGACGAAGATGAAGATGATGAGGATGAAAGTAACAGGAGTGAAGACAGAAATGAAAACGATACAGGAATAAATGTGCGTGAGTTAGATAATACATTGTCAGATGATGGAACTAATAGTTCTAGTTTCATCAGTGAAAGTGTATCCGATTTTAATGAAGTACACATTCCAAAAAATATCAGTCTAACACATCATGAAGAAGTAATGATTTCATAATTACATATCTCCCATATTTTAGAATAGCTTCACAAAATAATCATCTTTTCATATTATATTACACAATATACATCGTTTTGCGCAGCTCTACATGCTAGTATTTCAGTCACATATTAGATTTCTTTTATTTTAAGTATTTATTTTAACTACTTTTTATTATTGTAGTAGTTTATATATTTTAAAAAAGTTAATGTTATCCTGTATTACCACATTTGTTCATCATTAAATTAAATGATTAATGCATTATTTTGTAGTTAATTAATCAATTCAATTGACCAGGTTATTGGTAAATTCATTCAATGGAGTCTTATATAAAGTCTACACAAAGATTTTGTAAAAGTATATTCTTTTAGAAGTTATTTGAAAAAAACTTATTTAATGTCGTTAATCAAAAGGCTAGATACTAAATTTTCTTGGATATTTTCATGTACAGACTAACATATGCAAAATAGAATTTACAAATAGTACACATTTTCATATTGCTAATGATTTATTCATAAATAATTATAAGTAACATCTAATGAACTATTTGTTTTTGTTTTTTTCACTCGGTAAGGTTTCCATTATTTTGTCGAAGTCTCGATTATTTCATACATTTGAATATTGTAGGTAATACATTTCCATTCCTCAACCAAACTGTTCAACTTAGAATTATTGTCTCCTTGTGGTGATTGGAAATGCTAGATCCTGTAAAACGTACACTTTTAAAAAAAAACATCATTTAAATGTATAAGCGATAACACATAAGTATACAGGATATATTGATTGATCAAATAACAAATCAGGAAAGTGATTTTGTTATTTTATAATATGTAAAATGGGAAAATTAATCAATCTTTATAACTTGAACTAATCACAAACTATTTGTAATTCATATCTCATATAACAGGTCATTAAATTATGACTTAGATTAGAGAAACTTTTCAGGCTCGTAATACCGTGATTCCTTGTCGTCAACACATTAGAGTAGTATTATTACGGTTAGTATGTATAATAATTGTCCACAAAATGTATTATGTAATTTGTATGAGTTACAGTATAACCAAGCACTTTACTTGTAAAAGACATGTCATGCAGTCTCAAAAACTAGATATTTAATTATGAAGAACGATAAAAAGTTTAAGAAAACAAGGATGACTTTTTTTCAAATAGCTATCTTAGTTTACGATAACAAAATTTGAAGATAGTAATGGTTCACCTGACAGAAGTTTAACAATTGTTAAAATGAAACTCGGACACTGTGATGACGGACAACGGGTGAACTCGAGGTAGCTGTAAGAGGCTCAGAAGGAGCCGAAGGTGTTCCACCCATTCACCTTTCGGAAGAATATTCTAGAATCCCTACATGTAGCTTCCCGATTGGACAATGCTAATAGCCCCCTGTATGCGGATTGGAAGACTGTAATGATGATTTCGTTCTTACTAAAAACTATAAATACCTGACAATTTTGTACTATAATTGACACTGGAATAATATTCCTTTCATTAGTCTCCTGTCTTCTTGTTGCGACTTGGAAGGGTTTTGGTGTTCTGATGCTCTGTTATACGTGGTATATCAAGAAATCAACATTCAAGATATAACAGACACACATATAGCTGAATTGGTTGTTTGTTTTGTAGAGAACCAGTGAATTACTCAATGTAAATATGGAGTTCCCATATCAAAATAAACTAAGCAACATTCATTTTTAAATTCAGTAGCTCTAGAAGCACCAGTCATTCACTTCAAATCACTTCACGGATTTACAGTTGAATGATACTTCATTTCATTAGTTTCGCCTTGAAACTTATCAAATAGTTACTTCTAAAAATCGAACACATCATCATTAACTTGACACACTTTAGAAATACTCTTTAATCTGATAAGATGTTATGTATTATCTTACCAACTTTAAGGTGCTTATTTACTGGAGTCAATAATTTATGGATTTCACTATTCTGATTGCCCCAAAAATATAAATGACTTTCACTTTACCTGTTATGTCCACCAAGCATGCTGACGTTGATTGCCCCCGCACAACTTATGCTGATCTTGACAAATCGGACTACGAGGAATGCCATCTGATTTACTCTACCGTGTATAACTAAAAAATAACATGATAATATTTGTCAGTTCCAAGAACTGAACACTGAACTATAAGTGATAGAACACAGTTTGTGCATAATTTGATCATTTATAGTATAAAACAGAATAACAAGTGCATAAATGAAATAACGATCATTCATAAACCGTAAAATCTATATCTATAGTTAATAAATTACATGAAAGCTTTCAATTAAAATTGTATAAATCATAAATCAAATAGTCGATACATAAACCTTTCCCAGTCATTCACCCGTATCTAATTATATTATTTAGCATTAAACACCATAATTTTGAGATTTTCACTAAATCAATCGACATTGTCCACGTCTTTTAATAAAACGCCATGTTTCCTCTAAAAAATTTCAGTTCTGCAAATAAGTAAATATTTTCTGATGTTCGTCTTTAGCAAATGATTGATTACTGGATAGTGATCAATGACATGTATGTCAAGTCCTTCTCAGTGCAAATCGAATGCTATCGACCAAGTTGCAATGTGGCCACTAGTCTAGGTGACTCGACATTGCGTGAACTATGTAGAAATAAGATGGTGGTTAGAGGTAGTCGATAGGATTCGATAGGTTTCGTGCTACTTGGCACTCGTCAGTATGGTGTACCTGTAATGTTAAAGGAACTGATGCTCCCTGATGGATTCAATCCCGTGTCATTCAGCTTCATAGTCAGAGACGTTACCACTGACCTATCCGGGCAGCGACCGACCTTCAGTAAGAATGAGATATGTTTACAATTGATTTACTAGTGAAGTGTATGGTGTAAGTTGTATCTTCTTACTGGGAACTTTATACACTATTCAAACACACCACTCTTATTCATGTAATAAAAGATTAAGTACATAGCAAGAAGTTTAAAGTTTGGATAGAAAATAAATAAATGGAAAATCATTTTCATCTTTCAATGAGAAAGAAGACAAAATATCGAATTTATGGTGACGTAAATAATATGATTAGTCAAAAAAAATATCTCTTTACAATTGAATCCCCTGATAAATTCAAAATAAACCAAGAATAATTTGATTCAGTCAGCTTAATGTTACAATTAGTAATGTTCATATGAGTAAAGTTCTACATAACTTAGTCGGAGACGTTGACTTTAAAATGGCGGGAAAATATATAAAAAGTAGGGATAAGATACGAAATATTTAACATAATAGTTAAGATTCATAAGTATATATTTTAGCATAGAGATATTGTGGAAATAGTCAAATTTCCCTAAATTAAATCACTGACTGATCTTGATTAAATCATGATTGTAAACTAGTACGAAACTCTTCAGTAGTGCGCATCCGTGGCCATGTCACTTGAGAACGGCTAAATGGTCTCAAAGTCAAACGTTCGTGTGCGAAGGTCTTGAGTATTCATTTATTGATAATGAAGTCATTTTGAGAAGAAGGTGATACTATAAATGTTAATTAAAAGACAAAATGAAAAAAAAATTGATAAATTAGTGATTGCGTGATCGGGCAACATACTTCATATGAAATTAAAATTAACACCAATGGAATGCTAAGAATACAAAAGAAAACAAAGAGATTATGCAATAGACGACTTTATACCACTATAATTATTCTATTGTGTAAATGATAGAGTTACCACACTTTCTTTTTGTGTACAAAATCAGGTCGAAAGCTCATTATGGGAATGGCACTTATAAAGTGGAGACAAAAATGAATTTATTTGCTTGTTGATTATCTTGAACGTTATGTGATACCCAACTTATGTCTACTCTTCACTAGATGTCTAGTGAACATATTTGTGTAGATTTCTCTTTTAAACACAAGTTTAACCGTTGTTTGCAACTTTAGTACGCCTTTAACTGATGAACAGTCTCAAAATATAGTAAATCTATTTTATTCGGGAAATCTTGTTGTTCTTGATTTGTTTAAAAATACCCCTGTGTCAATAGTCCTGACTGAGTTATAGAGCACTATGAGAGTTTGTATTGATCAGAGATTTGCTCTTCATTATGCTGTGAGACACAGACTTAGAGAATATAGTTGAACAGATAAGTTATTTCTGTAGGTTGAGACATCTAGCAACATTTATAACTTTGTTTCAAATAGTAGATTACATATTTAAAAAGATGATTTGTGACACAAAACCAGTCAACTTGTCAACAGATTATTACATGTGTAAATACAAACACAATTGTACAACTATTGTAAATTTGGAATGGAACCTGTCTTCTCTGAGGTCTTTCATTCTCATTCAATGACACGATGGATTTCTTCGACTGTCCCGGTGAAATTTATTTGTCTTTGTAACCATTTGAACGAGAGACTAACTTCACGAGCATATCATGAAAACTCGTCCCTAATCTAATGAGATGTGACTCACTCATGTGCAAACCATCTGTGCTTTCAATGAACCCACGACCTTTTGTTTGCATTTATGATAAACTTAGCAGTGTGGCAGATCATAATAAGGGTTGTTTTGAACTTTTCCAACTCAAGGATATGATACTCACTTCTGAATATCAGGTTGATGTGGAGGTACTTTTACGACATTACGACCCTGGTTGGTACATACGTACAAAATTTCCCTTCATTTGTGAATCCAAACAAACATCTATTTTATACTAGTTTTATTAAACAACTTCATTTTATCTTTCATAACATCGTTTGAATGAATCCCACCATTTGAATCAAATGTTAATTTACTCAGTTTTGAATAAGTATTTTACTTTTCGCATTTGATATTTAAATGATATTTTCCAATTTTGTAGTATAAAAGTTATCGATAAGGGAATTAACTTCATGTCAGTTGACCGCAAAACATATATCTTCTGATATTTTCACTCCCAAATCATTTGGAGTGCATTTCGTGTAGATTTACGGCGACTTAACCTATTCTCCACTATGATAACTGATGAATATTATTTCGTAGTTAAATTCACGAATTGGTCTTATCTAAACCACCTATGAAGACCGTGATAGCTGTTTCGTCCCAGAATGGGACTTTTCGGTAGTGT